TTCGCATCTTGAAGCCCTTGCTTCGCGAATTTTGTTGCTTTTCTCCGAAAACCACGCACCGAAAGCCTGCCATAGGGGCCTTAATAAGTAAAGTAGTCTTTTGGGGCTCATTATACTATGCTTATATACAAGGAACCCCACAAAATAGTATTGGTGATTATTAAGTCCCCTATATTCGAAAATTATCCGAAAGTCTAAGCCGTGAAAGGTCTAGGAAACGGGTTTCCTGTGCACAGGTGGTTCTGATCTCGCACCAGTGGGCTGGGAGGAGACACCCCGACCCGGAGTTCGCGCAGTTTGCCGTTCTGCAGCAGGTGACGTGGCGCGACGTTCAGGGTTCAGGCTTTCGGGTTTCAGGGTTTCAAGGTTTAGGGTTTCGGGTTTCAGGGTTTAGGGTGCATGGTTTCGGGGTTTAGGGTTGCAGGGTTGAGGGTTTAGGGGTTCTTGGACCACAACGGAGCCCAAACAAGAATCTGTTGTTTGCATGAAACAACCGGCCACTGGCCGGAGAATTGAGCACAGGCCTTCGTGCAGTGTTGACATAGGATGTGGCAGTGCAGCAACTTTTCGCCTGCACAACATCCAAAGCCCTGAAACTGGAAACACTAATATAGGGGCTTAAATAATTACCGATACCATTTTGTGGGCTCCTTGCTATAAGTATAGTATAATTAGCCCCAAAACCCTATTCTAATTATGAAGGCCCTATCTATCTATCTATCTATCTATCTATCTAGCTATATATTTATATATATACATATGTTGTCCCGACACCTTAGCATCGCTTGCGCCCATCCTCCGAGGTTTGAGGGGTCGGCTTCGAGTTAAATGCTAGTGAAACAAGTTCCGCAAGGGTCTGCGATTTGTACTAGTCCTGTAAGTCCTTGAGCGAAAGAAACTGTAGGATACCCAACATCTTGTTCTGCTTGTTTACATATGCCTGTTTAGTTTAGGAGTTCATGGATGAAGGGCTCTTTCATGCGCTTGTGGAGCAGGAGGTTCCGCAAAACACCGGTGCTCTAGACGCATCGCAGAGTGCTTATCCACTCTGCATGCGGTATGAAGCCTGAGTAAAGCCTTGAACTCACAAGTTCCGGGAATCTCTCCCATGACCCCAGCCCGAAATACGAGAGCTCAAGCTCTAAACCCTAAGCCCGAAAGCTGTTCATTCCTTCACACCACCCATAAACCATGAAGCCTTAAACGCTTGGACACGTGGCCCCTGAAACCCTTGCACGCTTTGGCTAAGCCTCAACACGTTGACCCATAAACCCGAAACCTTCAGCGAGAACCCTGAACACCAAGCCTCAGACGCGCAAGCCCTAAACCATAAACCCTAAACCCCTAAACCCGTAACCCTCCAAACCCCTTTAAACCTGTAAACCCCGAAGCCCCAAAACCCTTAAACCCTTACACCAGTCAACCCCTGAACACTTAATCCCTACACCCCCAAACACTTAAACCCTAAACCCCTAAACCCTTATACCCGTAAACTTGTGCTGAGGCGCTTCAGGAAATGTCGCAAGGCAGAGCGAAGATCTCCAAGGACGCGGACGGAGACACAAAGAGCAGAGTCTAGCAGTATTTAGGGTTTATGGTTTAGGGTGTAGGCTTTAGGGTTTAGGGTTTAGGGTTCAGGGTTCAGGGTTTAGGGTTTAGGGTTTAGGGTTAAGGAGTAGAGTAGGTAACCTTTAACCTTATTTGAGGTACTACAAGGGCTTGTTAAAGGTCCTATAACGACTCCCTAAAGGCTCTATAAGGGTTCTTCCCAGCAGTGGAGTAGGTAATCTTTAACCCTTTTGGGGTAGAATCAGGTCTCTATAAGGGGTTCCATACGGGTTCCATAAGGGTTCGTAGTAGAGTAAATGCAACCTCCAACTTTTTGGGATGAAAAATCCTTATATGGTCCCAGTATACTCCCAAAGGTTAGCCTTTAGATCCTCAGAATACTGGGCTAGTAGGGATTTAACGACCAGCATATATATATATATATATGTGCATAGACACAGGTGCAGATATATCATAGATCTGGATGAAGACTCAAGGATGAGTTGCCGTCGTTTGCAATTTTGGGGACGTAGAGCATGGTGCATACACAAACCCTCCGCCCAACACTAAAATATTCGAGAAACCCTAGACCTTAACCCCAGACCCTAAACGAAAGCAACATCGCAGGGGCTCCCTCTGCTGGTGTGAGAACTCCAGCAGTGCCGATGGCGACGGTATGCTTCCGTTGAACAGATTGAGGCAATAGATCGACGACATCAGAAGATGTGGAAGAAGATGAACCAAGTACCGGTGAACCTGGATCATCGTACACTTTCAGTCACGTGTAATGCGCGTACTACCTATGGACGTACGGGAGAATGATTCAAAACAGATCGAACAACAGCTGCAAGTACACGCGCCAAGGCCTGCTAGTCGGGGAGCTCTCCTAGGCAGAGCAAATGCTCGTCAGTCGAACATACGAAGCCCAACTAGCACGGACAAACTTTGTTAAGAGTAATTTCGCCTCATGTATCCATTATAGATCCCTATCATGGTAGCTTAGACTAAGTTCCGTAACAAGTTAATCCAGAAAGCGGCATTGCCGGGGTTTACAGCCTTAAGTGAGATGGGTGATGGTCAAAATTATGGTCCCTTTTTGGGTACCTATTGTAATACGGCACCTAATATTTATGGTGCCCCAAAAAGGACCCTAATTTTGACAACCATTCATATGAGCTCCCGGAGCGGCTCACGCATGTGACAGAGGACTAGGGGTTGAGGGTATGCAAAGATAAAGCCCTACGGCTGATGATATAGATCCTGCATTACCCATAATAAGGAATATATCGTAATTCCCATAGTCTGGTCCTTAAGGTAATGCAGGATTTCCATCATCAGCCGTAACACTGAACCCGACGCGACAGAACAAACACTCCCCGAGAGTTACGTAGGTCACAGGTACTCGAATTATAAGTTTGAAGAGAGGCAAGCTGAACCGCTGAACCGTCGAGCATATGGTGATCCTGATACCTCTTGTGCTGAGTGGGTTGGGTTCAGGCCACCGGAAGAAACCCAAATCCCAAGTGCGAAACTTCTAACCTCCGAACTTCCAGACCTTCAGCTCCAAAAACCTTAACATTTCTGCAAACGCCCAACCTCAAACCTAGCAATCCCAACCCGAATCCCCTGCGCTTAGAAAAGCTTTATTCAAGCTTGGTGAAAACTGTAAGAGACTCTTGTGAGAAAGTTGAAGAAACCCATGCAGTCGTGCAGCCCTAGCGAAAGTCCCGCGATACGTCTCCACAGCGGCCGTGGCAGGATCCTTCCTCGGAGCTGAGCGGCTCGGCGCCGCGCGACCTGACCTTAGAGGCCGGGTTGACATGGCTCAATACAGGGGCTTAAATAGTTTGAGTAGATTGTGTAAACTGCGCGAAACCAAACCTAAGCCACATCCTTGAAAGCTGCACTGCAGCCTGCGAGGCATGAGATGGGTTTTCGCACGGCAGCGTAGGTTGTAACTAAGATGTTCCAAGACGGAAAGTGCTGGGCTGGTTCTGGGCTCAGTACGCATTTATGTTCATGGTATGGTTTTGATTTTGCAGGTTGATGTTTTGTCCATGTTGCTCCCACTGCCTGCCAGCTTGCCAACGAACTCTTGCTTTGAGTTGTTGTTTTTCAGACAGATCTTGTCCGCTACTCGCGCCGCTTTCCCGCTGCTGTCGCATGCATCTTTCTACTGTTGCCGCCCTGTCTACAGCAACTACTATGCCTGACTATGCCTCCTCTCATCCTCCTGCTGCTATTATCGGTTAATTACTACTACTACTACTACTACTACTACTACTACTACTACTACTACTACCACCACGACTACTACTACTACTACTACTACTACTACTACTGCTGCTGCTGCTGCTGCTGCTGCTGCTTCTGCTGCTGCTGCTAGTACTGCTGCTGCTACTACTACTCCTGCTACTCCTACTACTACTCCTTCTACGACGACTACTGCTACTGCCACCACTACTGCTACTACTACTACTACTACTACTACTCCTACTACTACTCCAACTACTACTCCTACTACGACGACTACTGCTACTACCACCACTACTGCTACTACTACTGCTACTACTACTACTACTACTACTACTACTACTACTACTACTACTACTACTACTACTACTACTGCTACTGCTACTGCTACTGCTACTGCTACTGCTACTGCTACTGCTACTGCTACTGCTACTGCTACTGCTACTGCTACTGCTACTGCTACTGCTACTGCTACTCTGCTACTGCTACTGCTACTGCTACTGCTACTGCTACTGCTACTGCTACTGCTACTGCTACTGCTACTGCTACTGCTACTGCTACTGCTACTGCTACCTACTGCTACTGCTCTCTACTACTGCTGCTCCTACTACTACTACTACTACTACTACTACTACTACTACTACTACTACTACTACTACTACTATACTACCACTACCACTACTACGGCTACTACTGCCGGAAAAGCTATCACCAGAACCGCTGGTTTGACTGCCTAGGCAGCTACTGCTACTACTGCTGCTGCTGCTGCTGCTGCTGCTATTGCCACTGCCACGGCTACTGCCAGTGCTGTTGCTACGGCAGCTACTGCTGCTGCTGTTGCCACCGGCGCTCCACTGCCACTGCCGAGGCTGCCGCTGCAGCTGCTGACGCTAGCACTGCTGCTGCAGCTGCTACTCCTTTGTCTTCTTCTTCCTCCTCCACTTCGACGACTTCCCCAGTTTCACATCCAGCTGCTCCTGTTGTTTGCTGCTGCTGGTGCTGCTCCTGCCGCTTCTGCACGCAAACCTCAAGTTCAACATGAGTTACAAGTGCAAATGGCACCACTGCGACACATCCAGCATGCATATGTCTTCCAGTTGACTTGGATGTCTTCATGACAACTCACGTTGCCGACTGCATGCCAATTTTTTTTGAGGTTGTCCTGGTCATTTCTTATTATCTTGCCGAGGTGAGGTGTGATGGCGATCGCCGCTGTTTGGTTGTGCTGTTGTTGCTCTTGTTGCTGCTGTTGGTTGCTATTGTGGTTGTCGTCGTTGTTGTTGTCGTGGTTGTTGTTGCTGTGGTTGAAGTTGTGGTTATCGCCTTTGTCTTTGCTGCTGTAATTTCCTGCTTATCTTGCTGCTACTCCTGGGCTCGTTGTTTGCCCACGATGCCGGAAAGATTTTCCTTTCGGTAATCAGCGCAGGTTTACCCTCCGCTTTCGGGATTCACTTGAGGCAGACTTGATTTAGTGACAGAGTTTCCACTTTCCTTTCTGGGCACCCGAACCCGGAATCCGACCTTGACTCCAAGAACCAAACCCTAAACCCTCCACCCCTAAACCCTACGGCTGATGATATGTATGTATGTATATATATATATATATACCCGGCATATAGTAAAGAAAGTACCATAATTCCCATGCCATAGTCCAGGGTCACTGAGGTAATGCAGAATTTGTATCATCAACCGTAGAATCCCCCCAAAACTTCCTTAAATAAGCCTATATCCAGTCCTTATTATGGGTATTAAGGCCCCCTACCCCCCTCCCCCCTACCCCCCCTAAGGGTCCATTTGAGTGCAGGAGCAGCACACCTGCTTGGATTGGGACATTTGGTACGACTACTTCGGTTGCCCGCAGATCGCGCCTTGCCGAGTCTGGTTTCGGGTTTAAGTATGGTGTTAACATAGGGGCTTTAATGATTTAGTTGCCTACACGACTATGTTGAGGGCTCCTTATTACAATTGTAGTGTGATGGGCCCCAAAACCCTATTCTCATTAGCAAGGCCCCTATTCTATAGCACCCCTATTATAGTATTCCTTATAGTAGCCCTTATATAGACCCCCTGAATTGCTGATCATTTTGCATGAGTTTAGGGTTTAGGGTATGGGGCTTAGTTAGGGTTTGGGGTTTGGGGTTTGGGGTTAGGGGTTTGGGGTTTGGAGCTTGGGGTTTAGCAGTTCATTTCGAAGTTCAGTCACGGTGCAGTTGTTGTCCTGCAGCCATTTTCGTGGCAGGGCAAGGAGGAGTGGAGGGACGGGGCGGATCTGGAGGAGGAGGAGCGACAGCAGGTGCCACAGGAGCCATGTAAAACAGGACTCGATCTTGACTAACTATGAAGAGAAGCACCCATCATCGACCTATGTAGCCGCTTGATCTTCATCACTCCCGCACTTTACAAAAGAACGGGCGTTAGAGAGCAGTCGAACACGGCATCTCGCAGCCCCTCAAGAGGGCCTCCGGCCAGAGAGCTTTCACATCCCTAAACCCTTGGGCTGACCTGTTGTGCTTGCCTGGCCTGCACAAACTTTCACTATGTGGAGTTGAGGGTTGAGGGGGGCAGAACTGTTCGGCCTCTTTGCAAGGAGATGCCCTCTAAAATTATCCTAAGCCCCCAAGCCTTCAACCTTTCGCCAGCTGGAAGAGGGAATGACTGGGCTAGACCCAAACCCCGAACCACAACTCCCAACAACCCCCAACTTAGAAGGGGCCCCCACCCTGTAATAGTGGTATAATAGGAATATAATAGGGCCCTAATATAATCCTTATAGTCACTATCACAGGGTGGGTGCCCCTTCTAACCCCCAACCCTAAACCCGAAGCCCACAACCCCCCAAACCCAAAGAACCACCGCTCTGTGGCCGAGGACGACCGGGCCTACGACAACGGTGCATCGGACCTCCAGGCAGGGTGCTCAGGACCCTAAACCCTATAAGCCCTAAACCCTCAACCCTAAGCCCTAAACCCGAAATCCGAACTCTTGAACTAGTGACCTGAGGCACGTCAGGCTCGCTCGAAATCCAAGTCCAAGATGCCCGTCTCCTCCTCAACCCGTGAGGTTTAGGGTTTCGAGTCTCAGGTTTGGGGGTTTAGAGTTTGGGATTTAGGGTTTGGGGGTTTAGGGTTCTAAACTCCAAATCCCAGAACCCTAAGACCTTAAGTCGCACTTCGTCGTCCCCGCATTTCGGCTGTCAAGGCTTTGAAAACCTCTCGTGGACTCGGGCCTATGGCCTCTGCTGGATGTCACCGACAAGCTAAAGCATGCTCCGTACTTAGCAGCATGGCTATGTTCAATACGAGAACGGAAACGACGATCCAGAAGAAGCGAATGGTCATTGAGATGCTGTGATTCACTGCAGCATTTTTCGTATGATGAAGAGGACGGTGGTGCTGATGTGGTGAGAGTCAGGGTGACGATGGCAAGCGACGGTGCTGAGGATGATAACGAAGGCGGGAATGAGGCTTCTATCAAACTTCGAACAAGATGGGTGAGGTTCTGCAGATCTTGGTGATAGTGTCGGGGATCTTGGGGGTGCTGGTGAGCATCTTGCCTAGACCGGCAGGGTCAAGAAAACGAGTGCAATGTTGATACGACAGCGAGGATGGTGGTGGCATGCTGAGAACGACTGCGCTTGCAATGCGTTGAGGGCGGTCTGTCAGCTTTTGCCAGAACGCTTCAAAACCCTAAACCCTAAACCCTCCATTTCCAGTAGCCCTAAACCCTAAACCCTAAAGCTCCCATCCTGGCCCGGAGCCTTCTCGAGCCTGTGAATCTTTGAGCAATTTGAGCCCGCACCTCTGCCTCGGTGTTGATCTTCATTGAAAGCACCCACTGAGTGTGGCCCCCAACAACAGAAGAGCAAGAGGAGGAATATGGAACAGTAGCATCGAAGCAGGTCAGGGTTCTCACTCTCTGCAAAAAGGCAAGCAGTGCGCTCCTAGGCCGCCAAGCCACCACAAGACTGGCAAACGGAAGAAGCAAACATGCTACGAGAGGCCGCTGTCAACAGCATTCCGGCCTACTGTGACATTGCAGACTTTGCCTGGGCGCCCAGTTTTAGGGTTCACTAGGGGTTCTTGTTCACAATCGGCAAACCCTAAACCTTTAAACTCTAGAGGACATAATGAGGCCTTCTTGTTTTTATTGGTTTTGTCCTTTTCGGCCTTGAGTGCGAAAAGTCTGAGATTTTTTTCCAGGGCTCTGGAGGGAAGTGGCTTTGGGGCTTTGAGGATTGATGTTAGGGCGTTAGAGTCCCGGACTTAGGGTTTGGAGTGTAGGATTTGTGGGGTAATTTTGATTTTTTTCGGCTTGAGGCTTTGGTTTCTAGAGGGCTTAGAAGTACAACTGATTACTACGACCTGAGGCCCAGCCCTAATTTGTCCCAGACTGAACCTAAGCCCGAAACTATTGAAACGACATGTTGGATTTCCTGTTTTTCGTCTGGAAATCCAAAGCCATAAGCCCCAAACCGGAAACACGAGTCAGGCTGGGAAGCTCTTGCATCAGTTTCGGAGTTTTGGAACCCTCAACCTCAAACCGAGAACAGGTCGTAGGTACGATGGTTCGAAGCTCATTTGTGGGATTTGGGTTAACGCTTGGCGTTCAAGGTTTCGGGTGTACGGTGGTAGCAGTAGGGCTACGGAAACAGGATACTCCTTGCCTTGGCGTTCTTCTGCTTGGCTCTTAGGACTTTAACTTGTTGGATCTCTAAATGAACTACATTAAGGAGGCTAAAATGTTAAACTTTTAGAAGGGTTCAGAAGTCAGCTAAGTTAAGTCAGTTAAGTCATACTGGAGATTTGTAAACTTTCAGGTACCTTCGTGACCCTGGCCCTTCGCCCAAGCTGGAGACCCCTAAGCTTGAAGCCTGAAAGGCTTAAGGAAGTACTCCTGAATCAGCCCTAAACCCTTCTAAACCTTATACCCTAAAACCTAAACCCCTCAACCCTAATTTACGAAGTATTCCCTTTATTAACCCTAAACCCTTCTAACTTCTAAACCTTAAACCCTAAACCGGCTAGACCCTAAACCCTCACCCCTAAACCCTAAACCTAATTTTCGAAGTATATATTCCTTATTTAACACCAAACCCTAATTTACGAAGTATTCCGTAATTAAGGGATATTGGAAGATCTGGGGGCCGATCGGAGGTCTTCGTGCTGGCGCCCTCCATCAAGCACTCCGATACAGGCTTCTTCGCAGGGACGCTGCCTTCATGCCCATAATAAGAACCACTCCGGTATAGGCTTCTTCACAGGGACGCGGGGGCGGGGGGGGTAGGGTTTAGGGTAGAGGGTTTAGGGTATAGGGTTTAGGGTTTGAGGTTTAGGGTATAGGGTTTCAGGAGTTTATAGCTCGATTCTGCAGCTAAGACAGGGGCCTTAATGATTACCAATACTTTTTTGGGGGATCCTTTTTATGACTATAGTATAATGGGGCCCAAAACCCTCTTCATTATTAGGGCCCCATTATTCTAAAGGCCCCTATATTACGTCCGCTGGCAACGCGACGATTAGGTTCATGTTGCCTCCCGGTCAGAAAGTCTCAAGCCCAAATGCCAGTTACCCCAATTTATGGTTTAGGATTGCCTAAATAGCAGCTAGCAGGTTACTAACCTTACTATAATTGTAGTCTAATAGGCATAACCCTATACTATATACCCCGGTAACCTACTATTTAGGAATCTTTAGAGCCCTAGGGTGGTTCATGATCAAGCCTCAACTTGGGAGGCGTGATGATGAGCCGCAGTACCTGGGGCATGCGAGGCCCAAGCCTGGACGCTCTAGCTGGTGCCTGGGGTTTGGGGTTTAGGGTTTAGGGTTTGGTGGAGGTTTGAGCTTCGTGATCTGGAGCGTTGATGCTAGGCTTAAGGCAGTAAGGATCGGAAGAGACCGGCGTGACGAAAGCAAGGAGCAATGAAGAACGAACCGTTCAACCTTTCATTGCAAGCCCCAAACAAGTTGACCAAGTCCTCAGCTCATGCCAACCAGTCTTACTCGAACCCTACAAGCCCTAATCCCTAAACTCTACATCTGTCTCCGGTGTATCAACGCCAAACCCTAGAAGCCTTAAGCTTAGAAATTCCATAAACCCACAACCCTTAATATAGGAGCTAAGTAATAACCAATATTATTTCGGGGGGTTCCTTATTGTTGTTATAGTATATTGGGCCCCAAAACCCTGTTCTATTTATTAAGGCCCCTATATTAAAGTACCCTTATAGATCCCTTATAGGGCCCTTGTAGAGGACCCCTTTGAAGGAATTCAATTCTCATTGAGGCCCCTCCGGTAGCCGACAAACCCAAAAGCCTCCCTCTGGAGGCCTGTATTCCTAAATCCCTTATAGAGCCCTTGTAGTAGCCCTTAAGGGGGCCCGTTTTAGGAACCCTAGACTCCACACCCTTTAAACAAAACCCTATTCCAATAGCAAAAGCCTCCCTCTGGAGGATGGTGCCGCGTTGAGAGGACAGCGGCGGTGCTCTCGAGAACTGAGAAGCCAATTTTGGTGCCTCGCCTTCCATGCGATCTGTAAAACGGGGTTAGGGTTTACGTAGGGTTTAGCCCTTTTAGGGAAGTAGTTTTCGGGTTTACTGAGCAGCTGAAAGGGGTTAGGGTTTAAGGTTTAGGCCGTTTAGGGAAATAGTTTTCGGCTTTAGTGAGCCTGTTTTTGAGAGTTCATGAGGAGTTTCTAGGAGTATTGAGGCCGTTGGGGTTTAGGGTTTAGGGCGAAGCTTCATTGCTCTCCGAAGCTGGGAAGCTGTCACCCTGATTTGGGGATTTCTGGGATCAGCACAGCTTTCGATTTGTCTCCTCGTCAACTCTTTGGCATATAGCACATATAGATATCAGTAGGCGCAGTCGAAGTTGTGGCAGGAATTTGCAATAGAGTCAATATCAGAAGTAGAAGTGGTAGTGGCAGTTGTAGAAGCAGGAGTAGTTGTAGTCGTCGCAACACCTACTGCTACTGCAGCTCGCTGCTTCTTCCACCCCGAGATCAGGCGCTGCAGGCGTAAGGGTCGGTGAGGCCCTTATCCGGAGATCCCAGTACCCCTTACACAAGCAATATACCATAAAATCATAGAATTAAGGCCCCGATAACTTAGGTATATTCCTGAATGAAGGAGTATTGGGCTTTCCGGAGCCGACTACCTGCACCCCAAATCCATATATACCTATGTACCCCAAATTCCCTGAACCCTTGTAATACCCTTAATGGAACCTTTATGCCACTCTCAGATCATTTCCAGCCCGACAGCGGTCCTCCTGTCCAGCGGCAACGAGTGGGCACGCGCCTGGCCAGGCCTGCCACCTCGGATGTTGCGGTTTAGGGTTTAGGGTTTAGTATGGCGTTCAGCATTTACCCAAAAAGCCCAATACTCAGTTATTAAGGAATATACCGATTATGATTTAACTTAAGGTATGTGGTATTAGGCTCTCTGGGTAGATATAGGAGTTGGGTCTAGGTTGAGAATCTCACGAGACTAGCTCCATCCGGGTGCTGTCAGCCGCATATAGTACGAATAGTCATGAGATGCGTAAACTTGTCGTAATAGCAGCAGAAGCAGAAGAAGTATCAAGCTACCAATCGTAGTACTTGTGGAAGCATACCTAAACGCATAGGAAGAAGTATATAGCAGCCGCCGTAGTAGTGGTAACTGTCGGAGTAGGGGGAGCACCAGGAAGAAGAGGAATATGGGGCAGTAGTGACAGTGCATAGCATGAGTAGAAGCAGCCAGCACTCTATTGGTTTGGTGTTGTTTGTAGCAACTAACATCATCAGGAGCAGTTATCAAGAAGCGATGTCAGTGGAAAGCGCTGAAGCAGAATGCTAGACGGGTAGACGGCGGAAGCAATCTGGAGCAGCTGCTGCGGGTGGGATGTTTTAGATTTCGCGTTTTCAGGTTCGAGGATCATAAGAAATTAGGGCTCCAGTTACCAAAATAGTACGAACTACATATTCTATACCCCGGTAACCTACCATTTAGCTAGCTGGAGCCCAAGGAGAAGTTAGGGCTGCTTTCAACCGCAAAGTTGATAGGCCTTCCGGAGTCCCGAGAAGCATTGCGGACTAGCTGCTTGGGACGATTGATGTGCATTCATGTGCCGGGTCGGGCTCGAGTCTAGCTTTTTTTTAACCCTCAAGGGCCCTCAACACCAAACCCCTAAACCCCTAAACCCCTAAACCCCTAAATCTCTTAAACCCAAAACCCTCAACACCAAACCCCTAAACCCCTAAATCCCTAAAACCCAAAACCCTCAACACCAAACCCCCAAACCCCTAAACCCCTGAAGATGTTCTGCGCAAGGTGTGGGATTGTGCTTCAAGGCAGCTCCGAAACCCTAAACTGGAAAACCCTCGTTCCTAAACCCTGCACCTCAAAACCCTACCATTGACCATGGGAGTTTCCGACAATCAGGGGTACCTTATTTTGGGGTCCTATTAATAAGGATCCTCCAAACCCTAAACCCTGGCCCATTGTCTTACCCCCTAAACTCTAAAGCTGAAGCCCTGAACCCTAAATCCTGACCCATTGCCTTACACCCGAAACTCTAAAGACGAAGCCCTAAACCCCACACCCTACTTAAAGGATCATGGGACTTAGTAACTAGGGCTAGAATTAGGGTAACTATACTTATAACTACTTATAACCCTGATTAAGGTCCTTATAACCTTACTTACTAAGTCCCATGATCCTATAAGTAGACCCTAAACCCCAAACCCTATAGATCTCTTTTAAGGAACCCCATAGATCCCTTTAAGTAACCCCCCCAACCATCCTTCGCCTGGCCGATGGCCAACGGCCGGCACGCGGAGCGGCAGCTGGTCGATCCTCGATGGCAGAAGGTTGAAGTTTGTTGCACATCGCAGTTTAGGGTTTAGGGTTTTGGGTTTAGGGTTTAGGGTTTAGGGTTTAGGGTTTTGGGGTTTGGGGCTTTAAGAAGGGGGTTCTCGGTGTATGTTATAGTGCACTTACAGTATAACCGTCTACTTATAGGGCTTTGAAAACTAGTTCTTCCGACCCCCGCTGGCGCGCAGTCCGAGAAATCTTTAGGATGCCCAGCTGCTTGTGGGGCACATGAATATCAAGCCTCTGCTTGACGGGACTAGGGAGAAGATCGTTGTCGACCTTCCAAGCCCTCGATAGCCTAACCGACGACAGACTTCGAAAGCCAACATAAGTGCCAAGGCGGTTTCAGGGTTTAAGGTTTTGTCGCTTGGGGGTCAAGGTTGTGGGTTTAGACATGAGATAGCGCTGCTGCAGCTGCATTTTTCGAGTGTCAGCTTCTAAGCCACAAAAGTCAGCCCTGAAATGGAGATGCCACCACCACAACTTCTGCCTAAGTCGTCAAGTGTGGACTTACTTCTCTAGGGCTCCGGTTTTATGACAGTCTCCTCTTTTAAGGCCCCTATATTGAAGCCTCACTGGCGTGTCTCCTCAGCTGACCCCCAGCGCTTGTGAATCCTGCATCTTGCCCTTTTTCCTAGTTCCCTGGGGGTCTGGAGTTTTGACATAAGATTTAAGGTTTTGGCTTCTGGGCTTAGAATTTAGGATTCTGGGTCATTCGTAGCCAGGGCTTCCCTTTCCCTGGCCTTCCCAAACCTTAGAGGGTGCTATCTAGGGTTTTGTATGGGTTTTGGGGTTTAGGGCTCATCTTGGAAATCCATGGGTGCCGGAAAGTGCCCTTTGCAAAGGCGATTTTCTGTCAAGCATAGTGCTTTGTTTTTTTGATGGGTTCCCTTCATTCGGTGGCCAGAAACCTCCGAAAATGGAGGTTGTACCGAAGAAGCTTTTTCCAGGGCACATTCATCGAGAACGAGCCTACAGAAGACAAGCGGGATAAGCACCACCAATGACAAGAAATTCTGGGAGGGTGGCGTGATACAATCTGATACAAAGTGGGAGTTTCCGAAAATGGGGGACCCTAATCTAGTACCCTAAATAGCAGGATCCCTGTTAAAAAGGAGCCCAAGATAAGGTACCCATTGTTTTCTGAAACTCCCAAGTGCATGTTGATGCAACCGGGCGGCTCTAGCCAATCGTAAACCCTACCGCAGACCCTAAAAAAAGATCCTAAACCCAATGGCCGAACCCTGAAGTCTAGACCCTAAACCCTCATCCCCTAAAGCCAAAACCCTTAAATCCTACATCCTCACCCTAAAGTCCAAGCCCCAAGTCCAAGACCCTTAAATCCTACATCCTCACTCTAAATTCTAGGCCCCAAACCCAAGACCCTTAAATCCTACATCCTCACTCTAAATTCCAGGCCCCAAACCCAAGATCCTTAAATCCGACGTCCGAAGCCTGAGATGCCGAGGATGCCAACCACGGCCTCACGAGCCTCCGACGACGAGGCCTTTGGGGGCAGGCCGGTCCTGGGAGGGAGTTCGTTTACTAGAGGGGCTTTAATAATTAGAGTAGGGTTCCTTTAAAAGGGCCCCTTTAAGGGCTACTATAAGGGCTCTATAAGGGATTTAGGGATATAGAGGCCTTAATGATTAGAATAGTGTTTTTAGGGGCCTTTATACTTTTGTGAAAAATATAAGGAGCCCCATAATAGTACAGGTAATTCTTGAGGCCCTATCGTACCTGAAGGTTTACGGATTTCGGGGCCTGAGGGTTTAGGATGAATGCGGCTTTCTGGTTTGAGGATGTTAGGCTTTAGGGTTTAGTTTGGGTGTTTGGAGGTTTATGTGTGTCAGGGGGAGGTTTGAGAGCTTGGGGCTCCCATTTTATTACACCTTAAACCCTAAACCGTGTGAGTGGGGTGGGGGGAGGGGGAGGCTCCGGTCTTCAACTTTTGGGTCTGAGGTTGAGGGTCAGGGCTGAGTGGGGTTTTCAGTTTTGGTTTTGGGTTCTTCATAAGTGCCAACACTAATGATTCAGTAGCGTTACTTCTTGTAGTTAAAGACAAAATTACAGCATAAAATACACTAAGACCCTACTTTAATTACCCCAAAGCTCAAAGAAGCCCCAAAGCATTATGTAGCATGGTGTTTGGGCGCAAAAGCCTTCAACTATGAGTCCTTTCTAATCCCTAGCCCTAGACCCCACAGGTATTGAGGTCCCTATCTTCGGTTTGGATTGGTGTGGAGGGCCTTCGGTTTTGCAGCTTACCCCAACCTGGACCCTGAGGAACCTGCCTTTTTAGGGTTCCCTAATACTAACTTCCGAACGCCCGTAGGCTCCAAAACCTTAGACAAGATAGCTTCGGACACTGCAGCAATTCCCCCTAAACCCTGTACCCTAAAATGGGAGTTTCCGAAAATAGGGGACCCCAACATACTACCCGAATTAGTAGGATCCTTACTTTGAGCACCCCCAAATAAGGTACCCTGTATTTTCGGAAATTTCCAAACTAGAACCTGTAGATCCACGACTCACGTGTCAGGCGGCAGACGCCTTCTGCACGCTGCGCCACAGGACGCTCCGGCCCTTCGGATCGTTCCAAAATGCATGAATCACATGAAGTAGGGCTGGGTTCCTGAGTAGTGCTTTTTGCCCTTTTTCGTCATTGGGGTTTACATAAAAGCATTTGTGGAATTAAGTTCTATTGGGATTTACATTCTAAATAGCACCGCAAGATCAGCAAAGCATACAGTGATTGGTTTGTAGTATGTAGTCCTTAATGTTGCGTGATTGCTCCAGGTACTTCGGGAGAAAGATTTTAGGGGTCAGAGCGTTTCACATCTAGCCGACAGAAGGGATCCCATGTGAATCTGCAGTCGAAAGCTCAGTTGCGACCCTAAACCACTAAACCCTAAGCCCTAAACCCGAATACACAGTGTTGGGGAGCCGCTTAGGAACACAAAGAGACCGTCACCCCAACTTAAAACAACCAAACAATCCCCTAAACCCCTGAACCCCTGAACCCTAAACCCAACATTTGCTTTGTTGGGCTCGTGGACCCCATCGCCAGAAATCTTTGACCTTCATAATTTCCTATAGTATACTATTTTGGGTTCCTTGTTGCAGATATAGTATCTTACACCCCAACAGCCGATTCTAATTATTAAGGCCCCTATATCCTTAAATCCCGTATGGAGCCCTTATTCTTATAGTAGCCCTTAAAGGGGCCCTTTAAAGGAGGCCTATTCTAATTATTAAGGCCCCTCTATTAAAGGCCGAATGTCTTCAGCTACAGCATTGCCATCTCAGCCCACGCATCTGGGTTGCATCTTGTGCTTCGTTGTAGAGCGTCCGGAAGATGGATGAGAGATTTAGTGTTTAGGGGTTTAGGGTTTAGGGGTTCAGGGTTTAGGGGTTTAGGGGTTTAGGGGTTTAGGGGTTTAGGGTTTAG